GTTAAATTAAGAAGATAGGAATATGGTCTGAACATACAGTAAAATAATATTCCTCAATGCGTTGTTAATATTCTTTTTCCCCATTTTTTTTTTTCGTATCTTGCTTTCTTTAGTTCTGATGATGGTTAAAGTGAACGCACCAGTTATGGACAGGTGGCCCAGTAATGGACAGGTTGGACTTTAATTGTAAATAATAAGTTTCTTTGTTGATTTAAAGGTTTCAGTTATTTCTAGATTGAAGAACAATGCCCTCTATTGACAATTCTAAGAACAAAGTTCCCAAAAGAAAATTTTAAAATGCCTATCATTGTTGTTTCTGTTGAGCTTTTGAGATCAGTGTGTTCCATACATTTCTTCTAACAGTTTTGCTAAGAGTAAGATGAACATTTATGTCAGGTTATCGTTATCGTTATCTTTATAGTTAAATAAAAAATTTAGAATTTTTGTAAGCTATGTCCATTACTGATACCGACACCCTATCCATTACTACAACAATTGAAGTTGGAGGTGACTATCACTTGTGCAAAAAGATTTTTTTTTCTAAACGAATATTATACCTGCATAACTGAATATTTTTTTAATTTAAAAGTGATGAATAGAAAAATGAGACCCAATAGGTTCAAAAATTACGGTTGCATAAACCAAAAAAAAAAAAAAAATTCTTTAGTGTAGTTAAAAATGTTCTTCCTGGTGCGAAACCCTACTCAGTTTTTGACGATACTAAGAGCATCAAGAGAACACAAAAACTCAAAACAAAACATTTTATATTTAATAAAACAATTACTATCCTCGGAGTAGTATTCTATACACAAATATATTTTAAGAAATAATGTTTTTATGTGACTAATGTTTTATTCAAAGTTAAATAATTATTTTTAAATGTTTACAAAAATGTTTTAAAGGTAAAATAAAAAGCTGTGAGATTAAAAGGTGTTTTTGAGGAATATATAATCATATATAAATTAAATGTAATAATTAAAAATTAAATTAAATACAAACTTGAAATTTAAAAAACCCAGTAATTTTGAATATTGGCATTAGGTAATTTATTGTTAAACCAGCGGACAACAGGTTTGTAGGATAGGTTGGGTTCTAAGGACCCTTCAGATCGTTTGAATATGGCCCCAAAACTGAAAGACCATAGGCCGAAACCTCGGAACATTTTATAACAATTCATACCGACATTTTAACGTTTCAATTCAGAACACAATAACTAAACTTCTTTTTGGTTGAAGTAAACATAAAAATAGAATGAACTGAATAGTATCGGATGTAGTTCAGAGTGTTTCGATTCGTCTTTGGAGCGTTGAACATTTCTCTCTGTTTATTTATTTAAATCCTACTACGAACATATTTAGATCTTCCTTTGAAGATAAACGATTACTTCTAAAATAGATTTGTGAACGTCATAAGGAAGGACTTCAAAGGAAACGAGATCCAGATAACTTACAATGCATAGCTTAACTCCGAAATGGCAAATGCCCAAAACGTGTTTCGACTTAAAGAAAGTCTGACGGATGGTGAAGGTTCGCGCATTTTCGTTTCATCGATGCCAATTAACGCTTTCTCCGAACTTCGCCTTTGTACATTACGTAATACCTTGAAATAATCTCTTATCGTGTTATCTGATGATATTAATTGATTTATTTTTAGTTTAAACAAATTCCTTCGAATACTTGATATAGAAAAAAAGGAAGCAGTGTCATTAAAAATAATCAATAAACATCTACCATAATAACCTATGGTTTGGTAGGTTAGCAGGTAAAGTACTACTGGCCACTACTTTTTTTTTTAAAAGTCATACTGTTTTTTTTTCCTCCGCGATATAGGTCAACTGAGAACCTGGAGTATATCAAAACCGACATTAAAACCAAACATTTTTAATTTTTTCACTTACTTCTTTTTTTCATTATTCTGTCCATTTCAATCATTCCTTTATCGTCTTTTCTACTCCAAGGACCTTCATGTTATTCACTATTCCTCTGAATTTATTGCACTAGCGTATCTAGGATTTAGTTTTGGGAGAGGCGGGGGCTTCAGCCCGAAAGATTTTTTCAAAAAATATATAACGATAACTACTTAGGAAGAAAAAGGAAGGAACTACTACCTTTATGAAATATAGTTTAAGTGATTCTTTAAGTACTATTATATGTAATTAAAGGAACAATGATACTTTTAGAGGTAATTATTAAATATTTTTTTCATATAACATTGTTCTATTTTACCATTTTGGGGGAGGGAAGGAGCTTCGGCCCGAAAGCCCTCCCCCCTTCCGTAGTTCCGTCCGTACTAGGTATTCATCTTCTTTTATCCCAAGTATTATTATTCTTCCTTTATAAGTTCAAGATATCTTTTGATTTCGTTTATTTTATCCTTTATAAACTTTTACCACATTATTCGCAACATTGTTCCCATTGCTATCCTTACTGTCTGGCCTAATATAAATTTAAATAAGAGGCTTTGAAATGGCAGACAAGTTTCCCTTTACTTAAAAGATTTTGATATTAAAAATCAATTATAAAACTTTCCTAAATTATTATTGCAGGAAATAAATAACAAACATCGACGATTTTATGCCATTGTATCGGTAATATAGATGAATATAGATATATCATATTTTTTGTCATCACAAGAACACGGACGGTGGGACTAATTGGAAGATTCAATTTGGTACCAACAAATATAGAAAACTCCTGTTCAACTGATGACGAGCAAGTGTACTAGCGTATTACAAGTCAATTGTGAATTAATAATGACAGAAACATATACTTCACGGCTAGGTGTTCGACAGCTAATAATTATATTGTAAGGATAAATTAGCTATATACAAGAGGCATTGGCGATCGGAGGACGAGAGATAAACTTGTTCGAGGCGGGCCTTGAACTTGCTCCTCGTAGGTTCGACTTTCTCCGGCGAGCCTCGGCACTGGGTCACTCAGCGACTCGTGGACCAGACCTTCCACACGGCATTCTCGATGACCAGTCTTTTAATAGGACGCATTCGCCGATTTCCCTCGTATGGAGCCCGAGTATACTATTCATTTTATCATGAAACCATTATAATGGTGACCATGACCTTTATTATGGAACCATTATCATAAAACCATATCCGATGATACCTTCAAGATCTCCTACAACATAGACATCGGAGAAATTTAATGGCATATTTTCTTCTAAATGTATATGACAAATTATGAAAGCATTTGCAATTAGTCCGTGGTATAGACCTCTTTTTATCAAATTATTACCATCCGCCTAAGAAATCGTTAACAGCTTCATCTCATTGTAACCAACAAGTTTTTATTTACGATAATGTTCAGAATTCGTGAGTTTCAATCTGGAGATCGGCAATTCACCTCAAGAGCACTGTAGTAACAACGCAGGCATTCTAGAATTTTCTTTTGGGAACTTTTTTTATACTGTTATCAATAAAGCGCATTGTTTTTCAATCTAGTAAAAACTGGAACCTTTAAATCAGCAAGGAAGCTTATTATTTACATTTAAAGTCCAACCATATCCAACTATTTCATGTCCATCGCTGGGCTCCCCTGTCAATAACTGGTGCGTTCACTCTTGCTTTTTTTTCTGATCTTACGATGCCTGAATTGCTAAAACTGTTCACTTGTATTTTAGAGACTCGTGGTTTCATAGTTTGGATTGTTCCATTCATGTCTCTTTTCAGTTTTCAGCTTAATTTAATAATATTTTTAATAATTGAATCCAAATATTGGATGACTTTGATGATACGATTTGATGATGGAGCGTTGTTGACGAATCTGTCCAACTCTCTAGGCTCATGTCACCTTTTATAATTTTCGAAAGATTATAGAAATCGAGACTTTCTTCTTCGCTGAGATAATTGCAGAAACATCAATGAAGCCTTTTTTATGTATTTATAAATGTTTTGGGCTCTTCAACCACTCGGATTATTTTCGCCCTATATTACAATTGGATCAACTCCTACTTAGGTAAAAATTACAAAACTACAACCTACCTTGAATATTTTAATTTACTAAGTATATTTTAATACTGCTACCTTCACCGTAAAAAGCAATACTTCCTGGATTACAGAGCCACCGAATTCTCAAAGGCATACGAATTATTACTAATTTGAATTAATTTAATTAATTAAACCATATTTAATAATTAAACCATATTATATATATAATCAAAATATATCAGTGAACTTCTCCTAGGTATCTTACTGAACTCAAGACACGTGTTCAAAATTCTGAAATGAACCAGTTCACACGTTTTCCATTTTCCTTCTCAGCCTCATCGAAGCTTTCTCTCATAGTCGGATTGACTTTAATTAGTGTGTGTGCACTAATGACTAATTTTAAATTCGACAGAGTGTTTCCATTCCCTTGAGCCTGGCCTGCTTCCTCGTTGCCCAGCCTACCATCAACTTCATCAGTTCTTCCTGACTAGTGGCCTATGAAAGCTTTTTGGAATATTTTATATTATCGCTAGAATATTTTATACCCAAAGCAATTTTGGATTAGGTAAATGTGCAGTAAGATATTAGGAACAAAGTAAGAAATAAAACCAAACGGATTTGACTGGTGTTCGGTCTAGACCAAGATCGTCGAACTGTTGCAAGACCATGACCAAGACTGGTATAAAAAAAATCTCCTTTTTGAGTAAAAATTAAGGCAAAATAGTTAGTAATACTAGACAAGTTTATTTACGATATGTAAACATGTGATATAACTAATGTTACTTTTGCATTTAACTCTTCTAATTTTTCATTCGCGATTACTTAGGTTTCTCCTATCTAAAAAATTACAATCAACACATGTATTTTCAACGAAGACACTTGAAGCTAAACCTCGTAAAGATATTATTTCAATGATAAAATGTTATTTTTGAAATTCTTCAAATCTTCGGCGATCCATATTTTTTTTAAAATTTAAATAAATCAGTTTTTCATGGATACCTGAAAAAAAAACACAATAAATTCTCAATAATCCTTTAATGGATGGGCGTTGAAACGTGTGTTAGAAAGCTGAGCTGTGTTTCTCTCTTCGACATTTCTCCAGTTCTTGATCGATCTGGCGAAGATGGACTGACAATGCGGCACGAACAGGATACAATGCTTCTTGGCTGTCGGTGAGAGCCTTCCGTGCAGAAACTTCCCACTCACTGAAATAACAGCGAAAACCTTCTCAAGTGTTTTGGTGTCAGTGGTGGCGTCAAAACAACTTAAAGGTTACATTTTAATGGATAGAAATATTTATTCTTTTGCGGGAGGGATGGATAATTCATAATAAGCAAGCTTAATCAGCTTCCTTTTTTCAGGAACCTATCAAAACTAATAAAATTAAAACAAAACACAAAATTGGGAATTAAAAATAATCAATCCTCATACCAGGCTGAAACGACAAGAAACCGCTCGACATTTCCGACTACTCCAGCATTTACTAGACAAACGCCATAAACTTCCAATTAATTACAAATGACTCATATACATGACTATAATAAGGCCTATTTGGACTGACGGAGTTGAGCTATGGGGCTCTACTAAATCATCGAATTCCTCTCGTATCTTTACAACCAAAAATCCTTCCTAAATCCTTAGGATTTATTTGTAACGTTGTTACAAATAAAACCATCCATAATGACCTTAATGTTTCTTATGTTTCAGATCTGGCCCAATCCAGATACCTATCCTTCCATAATAAACTTCAGAATCATCCCAATCCTCTCATTTCTAACCTTGCTTCCTTCAATTTCCTGATTTTCAATTCAATTCCTGTTAACCCTCCAAGGCGTCTGAAAAGAAGATGTCCCCGTGATCTCCTAATGTAGACATATCATTAGAGTACTACCTATGAGTAGTTTCTCAACAAGTGTTTTAACGTCATTATATCCATATGTTAAAATTTACTAAATGTATTTCTTACATTTAATACAGTTTAAATATCATTAAGAAATAAAAAATAAAATAAAAAAGTAATCAAAGATGCGAGAAACATATATATGAACATGCAGACTAATTATTCAGTACAAACGTTTTTTAAACAAGTAACAGACAAAATAATACTCACCAAAGGCTTAAAAGGAAATGGGTGTAGGAGCTGCTGGTCACTAAACGTTGCAGGCATGGTATTCCAATGAGTACCATTTCCTAAACGCCATGCAACTTTTTATTTATCAATCAACACATTATCGAACCTTATAGCTTCGAACATAAGTGCAGAGACCCACAAGCAAATATGATGGCATCGATATTTTTGAGGGAGGCATATTTTGATTGGGTTTGAAATTTTTGTGGGGTCACATTTCGATTGGATTATGAATTTTCGGAATGAAAAGTTTCAAACAAAAAGACATGAGGAATCACAAAAGAACCTAGAGGAAGTGTACTAGAATTACTATTGCCCAAATGCGAGACCGAGACAAGTCTTGGTCTTGCAAACTCAGTCATAGTATAGGTCTTAATCTTGCGCAAGAATCTCGCAACGGTCTTGCAGTTACCTATCAGCTTAGTACTATAGAAATATTACTGTTTTTTTTAGATAGGGAAAACCCAACTAAGCCCAAACGAAAAATTAGAAGATTTAAACACAAAAATATATTGGTTATACCAATTCTTTACATATAGTATCAAAAATTGTCAAGCATTAGTAAATATTTTGCCTTAATTTTTATTCAAAAAATCGATTTTTTTTTACCAGTCTTGGTCTTGATCTTGCAACAATGAGGCGGTCTTACAAAGTGCAAGACCAAGACCGATCTTGGGCAACACTAACTAGTATATAATACTCGATTTTTTAAATTCTACTTTTTTTTTTCCTACCCCCCAGGAATTTCTTGATTACAAAACACAATATATATATATATATATATATATAATATATATATATATATATATATATATATATATAAATGTTATATATACATTTAAATTCTACTTTCGCTTGCATTGTTTTTAGGAAGAGGTGAGCACTAAAATATCTTTGGAGGAAAGCGACATCAATCTTGGGGGACGGATGTGCATTTTGCTGAGGAAGTGTGAATTAAAAAATTAAGTAAAAAACAAATCGAAGGTAGGCAATGAAGACCTTGTTACTCCATCATTCTATTTAAACCACGTCAATCCAGCCTCGTAGCTCTGTATACTAAGAGAATTTGAAAATACACAGGCATCTCTGATCTATAAATAAATAAGGATTATACCAAGCAGTAAAAGTTATAGAAAACTAACTGTATCTCTTTACACACGGTTATAAAAACATATGTTTTTATGCAGTAAAATTTTTAACTCTGTTCCGATGTGCTTAGATAAAATAGACTTTATTCTAGGAAAAGGTCTCTTAAGAATAACAATTATGAACACAAAACATATCTTACAAAAAACAACATTAATAAAAATTAAATAATATATACATCTTCACTGGTGATATCGATATAGATGGTAATATGTTTGAACAGGTAGATAAATTTAGGTATCTAGGTTCTACGATAACTAGAAAAAACGAAATTGAAGAAGAGAGTAAGGTTAGACTGAAGGCGGAAAATGCTTGTTATTTTTCTGTGACAAAACTACTTAGTTACAAAACTACTCTTGTCCCAGAACTTAAAAATTAGAATCTATAAAAAAATTATCAACAATTATAAAACAATTGCCTACAGTTCTTTATGGATGCGAAACTTGGCCGCTTACATTAAGGGATGAGCAGCGTCTTAAGGTTTTTGAAAATAAAGTATTGCTTAGAATATTCGGACCGAAGAAGGATGAGTTAACCGGAGAGTTCAGACGGTTACACAACGCCGAATTGAGTGAACTGTATCCGAGTAGTATAATTGAGGTAATTTCATCGCGGCGAATCAAATGGGCTTGTAAAGTTGTTGGGCTTAGTAACGAGAGAATTCCTAAAAGGTTAATATTTGCTGTGCCGAATGGTAAGCGTCCGAGGGGTCGACCGAAGCGAAGTTGGGAAGATTGATTAAAGCCGATCTGAAGGAATTGTGTTTGGACGGCGAACGGTGGAGGGAGGTGTGTTATAAGCGATTGGTGGTGTCGGCATCGAACCTTCGGGTTCGCTAAGCCTTTTATTATTATTATTATTATACATCTTCAGTGCCAAAATATTAACGATGACTAACAAAAACATTTTGAAAACAAAAACATGGTTGAAATGAAAAGAAAAACAGATATCAGAAACAATAAAAAAAACAGAACGTTATAAACATAATGAGTTGACTCTTAAAACTAAAACTTAAACAATTTAAACACCGATTCACGTCAATATAAATTAGATTCATAGAATTAATTTCATGATTTTACATTTGTAAAGCGTCATTTCGGGACGTGGAAAGGTATTTGGTAAATAAGGTATTTGAATGAGGGCAATGAAGAGGCATGGTGGATTTCAGATGGCAAGAAATTCCAGAAGGCAGTGAATCGGGCAACATAGTAATATTCAAATGTTTTAGTTCTATAGGAAGGAGTATAAAGGTCCGAATTACGGAATCTTGTATTCTGGGAGTGGAAAACGGATTTGAACTGTAGGAGACTGTAGATGTAGGAACGATGGCAGGAGTTGTTCGTTTGGCATAGGTAAGATCCAACGAAGTATTGTTGCTGGAAAGAATGAAAGAGCCAATTTAACTCTACCTAAAAATGAGACACATGAGTTCATTTCCTTCTTTCGATACGATACTTTAAATATTTAAGAAAAATTATTGAATATTTAATAGTTGACCTTTGCATTATTAAGGAAGGAGATGGTACGGGGTGGTGGATATAAATAGACTAAATAGTGGCAAGACTATTTTATTGAAAGCCAACGTTTCGACCCGATTTTACAGGTCTTCTTCAGGGCTAGAACGGACAAGATACAAAAAGATATAGAGAATTGTGAAAGTTACATAATATTTAGACAAAAAAGTATAAACTATGTGAATAAGCTTATTAAAATTATAAATAGTAAGTACATTAAAATATAAACAGAGTAAGCTAAATAAGAAGATCCTAAACTGAAGTAAATAGATGGTAACAATTATTGTAGTGTAATATATAATGTATGCAAATGTGAATATGCTTCTACAGAACTATAGGGGAGATTGAAAGAAAAAGAAAAAGGATATAATATGAAATAATAGACATAAAGGAATGTGGAGAAAGAAAATAAAAAAAAAATAAATAAATAAATAAGTAAATAAAATTAGTAAGTAAATAGGTACCCTGATTTTCCAGTTCTGAGTGAAGTACCAAGCTGAACACACCAGTAAGTCTCTATTTTTATTCTTCTAATTTTATTTACTTATTTTTTCTTTTCTTTCTCCACATCCCTTTATGTCCATTATATTCTTCATATTATATCCTTTTACCTTTTCTTCCAATCTCTCCTGTAGATCTTCAGGAGTATATTCACAATTGCATATATTATATCTTACACTACAACAATTGTTACCATCTATTTACTTCAGTTTAGGATCTTGTTAGGTTTGGTGATGTTTTCCGTACAAATAATCTAATGATGATCGGGGCATAATTTCGTATCGTGATAATATATCGATATAATTATAGCATTTTATTTATTCAATTTTTGTATTAATGTATCATTAAATATAAACTTTTTTTTTTTTTTTAGCAACATGTGCTCTTCTCTTCAATGCAATGGACGTCCGGTACTGGAGATGCGTGATGAAAAGGAGCGGACAATGTCCAGATGAAGACATTAAATTCTTTTTGTACACTCCGTGAGTATGAAAAATATATATATACTGTGTTGTCCGGAAATAAAAGCGGTTTTATAGTTTTGTAATAAATAATACGAAACTATTTTGATTAATATATTATAATATAATATATTTGAGTAAAACTCCATTACTCTCATTGCATTTCTGTCAACTTAACTTTTCCATTCCCTCTGAATAGAATGTTAAATCGGTATAATTAACAAATTCTGGAATTACATTTCCTGAAGAAATATGGTCACTAGGATTTCTACCTTTTAAAAACTGGACGAAATGTCTAAAAAAAGAAAGGTTGGCGAGAGCTCCGGATAGTATATTCTAGAATAGAATTTCAGTTTCTTTGAAAATCTTAGACGTGTACTCTGCGAAAAAGCATGAGTGCCATTTTTCCATTTATTGCCTCAACTATAAATATTAATACATCTCAACTATATATATCATTCAAAAAATTAAAAAAAGGTTCTCTAAGAAAATGATCTTCTGAAATCAATATATGCACGTTGGAAGAACTATGAAATAAAACACACGAATAGGCTTTCGGGCTGAAGCCCTCTCCCCCAAAATGGTAAAATATAATCATGTCTTATGAAAATAACTTTAACAATTAGCTCTAAAAGTATTATTGCTCGTGTAATTACAGTTAATAGTGCTTAAAGAATCCGAGTTATTGAGGTATGTTTCTTTGTCGGCAAAGAACTGCAGCGCAAACTTCATAACGAATATTTTTTTTATGTTCGTTCACTGCATGAGGAACACAAGTTTCAAGGCTTTTATCCTTCCAATTGAGTCGAGGTGATCAGCGATAGTCGATTTGATAATTGAGGGTTTATAGCGCATCTAATCTATAAGTTGGTGAAAAGTACCATAATTTAAAAATCCGCACAGACAAGATCAGACTAATGGCTTATTTACGATTAAGAGACAACAAGAGCATAAGATTCTATATTCAAAAGCATAAAATTTAATGCTGAATCTTTGTGCTCTCTTTGCTACAAATGAGATGACTCAATATACCACTTTATTTTGTCATGCACAATACTGCAAAATTACAGATCAAGATTCATTAGCCCAATTATTCACAACTTAAATACAATAGACAAATTGACATACCTCCTTACGCAAAATAAGAAGAAATCAATAAGATCTTTTACTTCATCTTGTGTGGTCTAAAATATCAGAAAACTTTTGTCAAACTTATAATACCAAAGAAATTTTTTTCTGCATTTCATAAATAATTTACTAGTTGGCCCGTGCGAAAAATTCGCAAAAAAATTTGTTTAGTGAAGAAATAGCAAAAAAATATGGAAATAAGTAGTTTCTATGCCTTATGTAGGAAAGGAATTAATATTTTTTCCTTGGTCGATCACAATATTCCATTAAACCTAATACACCAAAATATTTGTACAAATCGCGGACCTATTTTTAAACGCTGACTGGAAAGATAATAAAAGCAATACGACCAAATATTGCACCGATCATAGGATATTCTAAATTATTAAAAAAAATAAAATATAAGAACAAACAAATGTCTTTAAGAAATAATGAAGATAATATATCACCCAGGGAAACAAATGTTGACTATTCTACATGGATAGAGAGTTTGTTCATGGGGGGAGGCATGCGTGTTTTACAGCATTTTTACATTATTTATTGACCACGTCCACTGCACTTTATGTATTTGTATGCATGTTATGAATTAGGTTAGGAAAAGAGAGGAGAAAATCTAGGGAACGAGAAAAATGTATAGAGTGAGAGAAGGAACAGAAAGGGATGTATAATGCTAATAAATGAATGAAAGAAATAGTAAAAATAAAATAAATAAATTTAAAAAAAAATAAATAAAAATATAGGGAAAAAAATTATGACAAAAAAAAAATATAAATATAAAAAAAAATTGTATATTATGCTCATACATGTTGTTAATACTATATAATTGTATATTAGTTTTGGAAAATTGTCTGTAGCGATTAATAAGTATGCTGTGTTTAAAGCAACCCAATGTAATTGGGCAGCACCATTTTATGATAATAAAGTGATTCTCTCTCTCTAAAATTTTGGAAGGATGTAAAAGAGGAAAGTATGCCACAATCGAAGCGACTGAGGAAGTTGGAGACAAATGGGGTTTATTCCATCTCTCTCTTTCCTTCCTTATACGAATGTGTTACACGGGACGTACATTTCTTATCTTCTACGTCCTGAGTCACCAAAAGCTGTGGAGATTCGAAAGTAGTAATGCTACCACGTGTCCATTTAGCTTCAAGGGATAGCATTGAAATTTTATAGCTTTCATAAAAACCGTCTTTAAGAAGCATTATCATTTGCCAAACGACACACCTCACAAAAAAAACATAAACACAGGCACAAAACAACAATGCCAAAGAAATGTAAACTGTGTTGGGTTTCATCAAGCTTGCTTGTAAAACGTTGACACATAATATAATGAATCAAGGCTTGAGAGATCGACTGAATGACTGTAGCTGAAGTTAACTACCGAAGTCTTTAGCCTAAAAGTCGATAATGAACCTAAAAGAATTTCTAGTAGTTGGAGAAGTAAAGAGGAAAACAGATATCTTTGTGTCAAAAGCAATGATCAGAATAATCCTGATTATCCGGACTCACATTTTCTGAAATACGCATTATCCGGATCTTTTTATTTACAATATATGTAATGTGTTAATACCGATTCCTATTCCGGCTTTCAGGAATGATATACGAGGTGTAAAACGAAAAGGAATTTCATGGAGAAGTGCTGATTCCCAATTGCGATCCTTAAATTCCAACAAAAACTTAGAAATAAAGTCCATTAAAAGCCGATGGATCGAGACGAATCGGATCTAGGGTAGGGATTTCCATTGACAGTCAATATTATCAAAATATCGACATTTTCCTTTCAATATTTTACCACCGACTTTGTATACCATATTATCGACTATAGATATCGTCCCACCGATATTTTAATATTTTTTTTTTATTTTTTATTTTATTTATGATATTTACAACTGTATTAATATTAATACATCAAGCAAATGTGTACACAGAAATATAATCACTTGTTGAGAAACTACCCACTGGTAGCACTCTAATAATACGTCTACAAAAGGAGATCATCTTCTTTTCAGATGCCTCGGAGGATTATCAGGAATCGAAGAGGAAGCAAGGCTAGAAATCAGAGGATTCGGGTGGTTATAGGGTTTTGGATAGGTATTTGGATTGGGCCAAATCGGAAACATATGGACCATTAAGGTCTTTATGGATTATTTTATTTGTGACAAAGTAAGGAGCATTAAGGATTTTGGATTGTAAGGATTGGTACGAGAGGAATTCGATGGACTTGTGTAGCCCCATAGCTCTACTCCGTAAGTCAAAATAGGTCTTATTATACTCATGTATATGAGTCTTTTGTGGTTAATTGGAAGCTTAGATCGTTTGTTAAGTAAGTGTTGGAGTAAGAGGAAACGTCGAGCTGTTTCTTGTATATTTTAATATAAAAATAAAAAATATCGTTTTCGGAAAGTGCTAGGATATATATATATATATATATATATATATGATGTATATGAACCTGATAGTTACTGAAATATACTCATCTTGCCTCTTTTATATATAATGTAGAGCGTAGTAGAGTAAACTATCGATATTTCGATAATATTGACTATCAATGTACATCGATAAGTAGAGTTGAATAGCACACTCACAATAATCAGGAACCCAATTTGAGTTCAAATTTGTTAGTTAAAACCTTCTCAAACCAAGGCTACGAATGGTCAAAGAAATATATTTAGGATGTAAATAGATTAGCATTTCAGTGAATCCGATATAGGGATAAATGGAAGACATAATTGGTTGAATGAAAAATTTTCGCAAAACGCTAAGAATGAAAAACATCGAATGTAACTAGAAAATTAATTTTACTAAGCAGGATAGAAGAATCGGTATTTCCATGAATTAATTTAAAAAGGAAAATAACATCCTTTTTTATGCGCCCTTGTGCTAAAGAATCAATATTTCTATTGATATTCATGTTTCAAAAATGTTTATGAAAATATCGACGATCATTGATACAATCACCGTTTTTTCTTAAACAAACGGCTGGACCGATTTCTATGCTTGATTATTCAAATTATTCCGTGAGTTCTCTTGGCTGAAGCATCTCTCTACCCCAAAAGTATATTTTCCTTTCATAGGTCCATATTTTTTCTTAGGTGATATAAGATAAATAATTAAGCAATCACAATTTTTACTAATCTCATTAAATCTTTACCCCAACTGTATTTGTTCAAGGAAGTCAGTACTCTATAAACATTGAGCTATTAAAATTTGTTTCTCAGTTACTAACTCTATACCCCGAAGATCCATATCCAAGTCATATTTTTGTATTTGTTCGGGAGGAGGGAAACAATTTCTCATAACTTTGAGCTATTAAAATTTATTTCTTAGTTACTAAATTATTTAATAAAAAAAATGAACATGGTGTCTTTTACTTTATTTACCATGGCTTAAATTTATTAACATGGCTCATTATTGAAATATCATTTTATATAGCTTCTTTCGTTTAATTCCATATTATTTAACGTTTATAGGGGGAAAAAAAACCTAACCTCTCAAAATTAAATTATTATTAAATTTAATTACGGCTAATGGTCTAAGTATAGCTAGAATCATTAATTGATGAAATTAATGCTAAGTGATTTTTTATTCTTCCAGAATTCTCGATTCGAATAATAAAATTTAAACTATTGGAATTTTTTAAAATCCTGATGATTAAATTTTTTTGGTTTTCTGTGATTAATAGTATCTGCTGAAAGTGGAATATCTTTAATCACTAATATATTTTAATTATTATAAAATAAGTTGACATGAATTCAATTTAACGTAGTTTATCTCCGAACATAGACAGAATCTAAAACCTATTAGGTCCTAACGGACGCTAGACCTAGATAGATAACTTCAAATAGTCACAGAAACCCCTCCCCCCTCTCCCGAAAAAAAATAAAAATATAAAC